CCAATTGTACAGTAAAGGTACCATACTAGCTAGCAGCAGGGAAACCAGCTAGGGCACAAATCTAGAACTAGGGTAGAACTAATGGAAGTGAAACAGGTGGATAAGTGCAAGAGAAATAACAGACGACTCTATCATAAAAGGCAGAACACTAATTGATGGAAGGGGCAAGAGAGACAGAAGGGTTTAAGACTAAAGTAGCCTCTCTCATCCAAATGCATAAGGATTGACAGTTTGGCTGCTTGGTTTAAAGGAAAAAAAAAGTCAAAGTTGGAAGACATTTAAAAAGATAAATACCAAAACATATTTTTTTAAATTAAACCCTATCATCATACATTTATTTGCCCGTGTTTTGCTGTAATGCTGAGGCCTTTTCTCCACGTCTATGTCCACCAGCTGCAGTACCCAGCGGTACTTTCTTTTATAAACCATCTCAAGGCATCACCCTTTTAAAGGTCAAATTTCTTTCAAGAAATGGTGAGGCTGTAAAGACACCAGAGAAACAGTGCAGATGCTCACTACTACTCGGTGAGAAGGTTATCTACCTCGCCGAATGCAGGCAGGGTCACGCAGGCTTCCCCGCGGTCTTTCCCTCCGCCCAAGAGGTCAGCAGGGTTCCAGAGGGGGCTGCTTCATCACACTGTGTCCCCTAGTATGGACGAGGACGACACAGAGCAGAGCCATGGACCTGGCCGTCGGTGAACGCACCGAGTGAGTGCAGATTATTGCTCTGAACCACTAAGATTCCTGGGTCTTACATAATCACAGCTGAACCCACCTATCCTGAATGGCTGACAATATTAGTGGGAACACTCTTCTTTTAGGACTCCCCAACTCCTTTACAGTTACCTCAGCCACTCTAAAATCAGCCGCCATTCCGTTTCAGAAACTTACTTTTTATCAGGTGCTTTCCAAAACATTCAAACGAATTCAAATAAATTGTCACAAAAACAGTAATTACTTTTGCACATATATTTAAAATCTTTATATTAAATAGAGGAGTAAGTACAACTGGCATAAACAGGTTTGGGGAGGGCGCCTGGGTGGCTCAGTTGGTTAAGCGACTGCCTTCGGCTCAGGTCATGATCCTGGAGTCCCTGGATCGAGTCCCGCATCGGGCTCTCTGCTAGGCAGGGAGCCTGCTTCTCCCTCTGACCCTCCCCCCTCTCATGTGCTCTCTCTCTCTCTCTCTCTCATTCTCTCTGTCTCAAATAAATAAATAAAATCTTAAAAAAAAAAAAAAACAGGTTTGGGGAGAAGAAAAAAAAGCTGAGTCTGGACACTCACACATGTCCATGTGGGAACAGAAACCCAAGGGCAGGGCGCCCGGGTGACTCAGTTGGTTAAGCGTCTGCCTTCGGCTCAGGTCATGATCCCAGGTCCTGGGATCGAGTCCTGCACTGGGCTCCCTGCTCAGCGGGGAGCTCTCCTTCTGCCCCTCCCCCCACTTATGCTCTCTCATGTACTCTCTCAAAGAGAGAAAATCTTAAAAAAAGAAAAAGAAAAAGAAACCCAGGAAGACACAACAGGGGAGCCCTGTAGCTTTGACCATTTCATGTGTTATGGACATCAGTTGATATATTTTGCAGAGAAAAAGAACACCAACTAATCCAGCAAGTCTGGAGGTCCCTAAGACCTTATACCATTTTCTAAAGCTGTGAGCCTAGAAAATTATAATAATGAAGAGTACTATCGTATTACCAGGTTAAAAATCTAGCCGGTTTTTCAAAACTATATCCAACTGCCATATTTTTTCTGTCCCAAATGTACAGTCAGAAGTGCTTAAGTCATTTAAGAAAGCACAAAAATAACACTGCAAACCCACAACCAGACACAGAGTCAAGAGTACAAAGTCACATGTCATTCCATAACCCGGCTCTTAAAGATAGAATAAACACATAAGTTACTATTAAAAACTAAATTTGAGTTTCATACTTTAAAATTACATACTGCTTTAAAATTGTCAACAGAGATAAATGTTTCTCTCAAGGTTGCCTAGTAAAATCTGGGTGCTTCCATTTTGGGTGGCCAAACAGTCAATCTATCCATAATTTACATACTTTAGAAATCTGATACTCAGCCTCTTCAATAAAAATATGAACTTTATGCAGAAATCATATTGATATATTTCAAAAGATTATTGAGAGAAACACTATGCAAATACATATACACCAGAAACTCCAAAACAACCAACCATAGTTTAAATAACATCCTCCACAAGTCAACCTTGTTCCCTTCACCAATATGCACACGAAGCCTCCCTCCTAGGCATCAAACAGGATAATCTTAACCTCTATAGCTTTAAAAACAAACAAAAAACCTCCATCTGGAAACAAAAAGGCAGTAATACCACACCTGCCAAAATAATTCTGCCCCATACTCTACTGAGATAGCAACCCATTCAGTCTTATTTTAACCAAGGCAGACCCTTAAAAAGAAAGGGAGAAAAACACTAATTTGTGAAATATGAGGTGAACTCAAATATAAAGTTTTCCTGAACCCTGACCTAAATCAATGTTCCCACTATTTTTTTTTTTTAACTGTGAGATAAGCAACCATGAGGACAGGATCACAAAATGGTTTAGTCTTCTCATAAAATAAAACAATCAATCAATCAATCATCATCATCATCATCAAAATAAAACAAGAGTTAATCTGACACCTGGAAGGAGGAATACTTTGCTACAGGATGAGGAGTTGCCATTGAGGAGTTGAAGACAGACAGAGGAACCTGACTTCAGGAAGAGAAGAGGGCCAAGGCCCAAACCCTGCAGGATGTGGACACCAAGGGGGTCAGGAGGAGCTGAGGGTTGAGACCAGAAGAACACAGGTCACCAAAGCCAAGACACACATATGACAAGAAGGAGCAGATGATCAACCATGTGAAGGATGGGAAGGAGCACAGAGCAAGGAAGGAGACGGGGTTATCAGGCCTAGAAGCCATGTGTTAGGGGCCGAATTGTGTCCCCCTCCCAAATTCATATGTTGAGGCCCTAACCCCCAGGACCTCAGAATGTGACTGTACTTGGAGAAAGGGCCTTTAAAGAGGTGATTAAGTTAAAACCAGACCATTATTGTGGGCTCTTACCCAATATGACTGGTGTCCCTATAAGAAGAGAAGACTGGGACACAGACGACACAGATGGAGGGACAACCAGATGAGGACACAGAGAGAAGGTGACTGTTTGCAAGCCAAAGAGAGGCCTTGGAAGAAACTACAGCTGCTGACACCTTATTCTTGGATTTCCAGCCTCCAGAACTGTGAGAAAATACGTTTCTATTGTTTCCACTACTCAGTCTGTGGTGTTTTGTTATGGCGGCCCTAGCAGACTAATAAACCATCCTACGACCCCTTCTGGCAATTGCCTACTTCCAGTCTCTTCCTCCATACAGCTAAGGTTTCTGACAAGGCCTATCTTTGACACTTGCCACATGCCACTGAAACAGCTTCAGATAAAATGTCACCACCTGTTCGTTGCCCACTGCACTCTCTCTTTAAGCGCTCTCCTGCCCTGGCTTCCATAGAGCCATTTCTTCCTGGCTGCCCACTTCCTACCTCCATCACTCCTTATTCTTAGCGGCCTCTCCTTCCTCTAGTCACAAAACAATGTTCCCCAGAGTTCTATCACCCACCTTCCTCTCTCCTCATTCCACCCTCCAAGCAATCTTAACATCTTCAACCAGATGCCGGCGATCCCTTCATTGGACCTCAGGCCCTGGCTTGTCCCTGAGCTCTAGGCCCTGTACCTCGGCAGTCTGCCGAGCCTCACTCACTGCCCTGAGGCCCCGTATCCCAAAGAGAACCCGTCCCCTTCGGGCCTGTGTGTGCCAGCCATTCCTGACCTCTCAAAGGAACCGGGGAACCCTCCCACATTCCAACTATCACTGTTCTCAACATCTACTGTCAGAAGATCAATATTCGAAATACGGAAAAAGTTCTATGTACAACAATGTTAATCAATGTATTACTCACAACAGCAAAATGTGGAGGCAACCCAAATGCCCAACTGTAAGAAATGTTTGAGGACATTACGGTACGCAGTGGAATAATACACAACTATAAAATTGATTTCAAAAACTCGGCAGCAATACAGATCTTAAAACACAGGCATAAAAAGCGTGGAAAGGAATATTCAGAAATGACCAGAGTTGATAGTTCCTCCATTTTCCAAACTTTCTGGAATGTTCCTAAGATGACTCTCTAGTATACAATGTCCCAATGAGAGTTCCAGCCATCTTGGACTTTCAGAATTGCTTGGCTGAAGGATAAATGGGAGGTTTACTCCAGACCTGCCTTCAGCTGTCATTCCACATCCACGCTACATCTGTTGCAACGTCCAATGCAAACTCCCATTAAATAAATTTCCCCTTAAATCCTACTATCCTTGTAGCCCTCAGCATGAGATCCTAAAAAAACTGATTCATTCTTTCGAGAAATCCAACTGGACATATAAACAGCTGTACGACTGTGGAACCGAGCTCCCAACATCTGCCATGGTTATTAAGTGTTCTAGTAAGAAAAGATCATCATCACACGCATGCTGCTGCCAGGAGAGCAAATGTCAAGCTGGAAGCTAAATCACAGAAGGTGAAGCCATCTCCATATCCAATGTCCACCAGGTAAAGAGGGACATGTTCTCCATCCGAAGAGGAAAGACACTGACAGCTCTTCCATCCGGGAGTCCATGAGACAGAAAACTGGTCGCCCCCTAAGGACGTCAATTGGTACGGTTCCTTTAATATTTTACCTACACCTTTTTGTTTGTTTCCCACATTGGCAACAAATGGCAAGTATTAAGGTGGGGCTGACAGTTTTACCTTTATTTCTTCAACCCTCACGCCCTATCCTTGGATGCCTCATACCAACAAACTCAACAAATTTCTCCTCCTCCATTTTTGGGTTAAATGAAATGAAACAGGCAAGAGCCACCAAAATCACACCCGCACCTGGGAGCGTCTGTGCCAAAACGTGGTGTGCAGCAGAGGTGTACGTACAGACATACCTTCTCGGACGGCTGCCTCACTCAGAAGTGGTGTAGATAGTGTTTCTGATGCAAAGGACTCCTATGATGAAACCTGTTGAAAAATAAATATGAACTCCTAATTACACCCATTCTATAAAGCTAGGTTTTACTGCAATTGTACAGACTTCCTTAACGCACAGAAGGAATGCTCATAAATATTTATGTTACATTCAAATTGGGCATTTGTGGTTAGAGATGAAAAACATTATAAACTGTGAAATCAGGTATAGGAAGGCATCACCTCATTTAAATCCCCTCAACTAGATTTCACATTCAGCTGTGAAATGTCACTGCAATCGGCAATATTTCTCAAGGAAAAGAGCTCTTCCACTCAGGCCAGGCAACACTGCTGTCATCTCCTCTCTGAAATCTGTGTCAGTATTATTTTGGGATACTGAGAGGATGCCACAGCTTACAGATAAATTCCTGCAGATAAAACGAACTTAGCAGGAAAGCCCATTTCTTCTCCGATCATAATTATACAAGAGGGCACGAAAGGAAAGCTGGAAAGCTCACTGAACTTTTTAAAAAGTAATTAAAATCAACAGGCTTTTGAGGAAATGTGTCAGATTTGGCAACATTTTCTTTGTAAAAATGCATTTTGGTAATTTTCCAGAATTCTGTTCTTCCAGTTGGGAAAGGCCCAAAAATTCTGACACATAATGAAATGGTAACAATACTGATCACCCTAATCAAAATAGGGAAAGAGGAAAAACTTAACTTCAGCATTCCCTCACTCTTCCCTTGCTCTCAGCCTCCCAATCCCCCAAGATTCCTGGTGCTTTTAGGAGGCACAGGACACCCCCCCCACAGAGGTTAAGGAGTTAGTTAGTAAGTAAATCAATCAATCAATTATTTAATTATAGCTGTGAGTAAACAAAAGGCTGCTCAATTTAGATTTTTCAGGGCAACAAGTTACATTTAGTTTTACAATTAATAATAAATAAAATTTACTCTTTGAATTATAGAAATGTATGCATCACTTCTACAGGACAGCAAGGAAAGGAGAAAGATGGGGGATTAAAAGGAACAATATTCAAGGGGGAGGGGAGTAAGAGGAGCCCAAAGGAGAGTGAGTAACAGATGGCTGGAGGCCCACTCAGGGAGTGCAAGAAGGAACAAAAAAGGAAAACAAAGACAGAAAAAGAAACAGAGAATAAAGGGTTCCAGGAGGAACTGCATCCCCCCACCGTCTAACTTACTGGGATAGTTCTACTAAGGGCTTTTAATAAATACTGTTGTATTTCTCCAACAGTAAGCATATATGGGAAAGTACTCTACCACCTCATGTAAATGCAATCCAAGGAGGTGGAACCCAGGCGCCCCCCTCTTCCAGCCCCACTTCAACGGCCCACTAGGGCAACTGCCAGCCTAGCCTTTTTTCATAAGGTTTTATCATATTATTATTTGTACAGAAGTAACATAACCAGATTAGAGAAGATGCATAAAATCAGAGGGGTAACAGCAAGTCACCAGAGTATACTGCCCTAACACAATCACTGATAGCATTTTGGTTTATTTCTTTGCCATCTCTATTCCTTCATCTTTTTCAGGCGTAACCAGAGTGCCGTATCAAATCATAAATTATACGCGCTGCTTGGATTCAAACGGATCTGAGCATCTGGCTGGGAAGAGGAAGAACCCCAGGAACCCATTTTCAGGAAAGACCAAGAAGAAGTAACCAACATTTACATGGAGTGTTTGCTGACACTCTTCTAGACACACACACATTAACACACTGAATCCTACCCCCGGAAGAAGGCTCTGTTATGACCCGCATTTTGCAGATGAGAAAGCAGAGGCAAATTAAGCAACATGCCCCAAGTCATGGACTCCTAAGCAGAAGAGTCAAGTCTCCAAACCAATACTTTGTCCAGAGCCGGCCTGTAACCACGACACCACACTGCCTCCCACTGAGGCCTGTAAGAGTGAACCACGCTCCATCACACTTGTCCCAGGCGCAAAGCCTCAACGACCAAAGAGCCATTATTTCAGTGGAGTGAGGTGTGTGTAACTCACACCGGACCCCTCCACTACCCCCAAAGCCTTCAGTGTGTATTTGGAGAAGGTGCCAGAGAGAGGGGGGCAAGGGCTTAGCCACTGCAAGAGCCAAAGGTGGCCCTGCTCAAGACCCATCCCAGTAAGGGCAGACAGGGCTTCTCCAGACTCAGAGAGCAAGGCCCCAGTCTGAGCAGGACCCCGATGTGTCTAGCAGAAGCCAGTGCGTGGGGTAATGGCAGCACTCAGATGGGGGGGTCGGGGGGGTCGGGGATGGAGGATGGACCATAGCCCAGTTCAAGCCACATCACAGAGGTAGCTCTCTTCACTTGAGCAGTTTCATTTGAGGAGGAAGGAGAACATACTGATCCAAAATAAATATTTTCATGTCATCGCAATTCACACAGTATGTAATACCACTAGGATGATGGTTTACTAAGAGGCAATAACAAAAAATTTAAGTCATTGATTACTAAAATTTCCATTTATCTACCATTCACAGCAGAGCCCCATCTCAGGGCTTCTGAGCTTGGTTTGGTTTTCACTGCCTGGAAAGCTCTTCAGGCTTCTCTCCCCTCCAGCACCAACTCAGCCCCCAAGTGGTTGCACAAATGTCAGTGTCCTCAGACCCGCCCTCCCTGTATCCACAATCTAGTGTCACCTCTCCCCACCCTTCTTATACTCACAGCCCCCTGTCCTTTTCCTTCACAGCACCCATCACAACTCATAAATATGTCATAAATATCTGCATTCATTTCTGCAAAGTCTCTCCCTCCTCATACGCCGTGAGAGCAGAAACCATGTCTGCTTGATCACCAGTAAAGATTCAGCACCTAGTGTAGTAGTGCGCACTAGGCGCCCAAACATCTGATGAATGAATGAATGCATACATTAAAGAACGAAAAGTCACCTCCCTTTACTTCTAAAGGTATTACAGTAATTTTATTTATTTTTTTTAAAGGAACAGTTTTTATTTTATTTTTTTATTATTTTTTTTAGTAATCTCTGCACCCAACGTGGGGCTCAAACCCACAACCCTGAGATCAAGAGTCTCATGCTCTTCTGACTGAGCCAGCCAGGCATCCCTACAGTAATTTTAAAAACTGTGACATTTCCGGGGCGCCTGGGTGGCTCAGTCGTTAAGCGTCAGCCTTCGGCTCAGGTCATGATCCCAGGGTCCTGGGATCAAGCCCCGCGTCGGGCTCCCTGCTCAGCGGGAAGCCTGCTTCTCCCTCTCCCACTCCCCCTGCTTGTGTTCCCTCTCTCACTGTGTCTCTCTCTGTCAAATAAGTCAATAAAATCTTAAAAAAAAAACTGTGACATTTCCATTACAGGTTGGTATTTTGTGCTCTATTAGATAAGCCACCCAACTTCAGGCTCTAAGAACAAACAAAAGTTTAAATGTACACTTGATCAGCCAAGAACCATCGATAAACAAATACAAAATCAACACCATTCTTGTACACCAGTGACACCAGTCAGAAATATGACACGCAATTCAATTCCCATGACCATTCACAATGACCACAAAAACCATAAAGCACCTTGGCACAAATCTAACAGAAGACATAAAAGAGTTTTACATGTAAAATTATAAAATTTCATTGAAGGACATAAAAGACATAGATAAATAGAGAGGTGTATCAGTTTGCAGATGGCAAGCCATGAAGCCCCAAAGATGGCAATTCTCCCTGAATACTATCTAAATGCAATGCAACACCAACAACACAAAATTTAAACACAAAAACAAAAACAAGCCCCATGCTTGGGTAACATGTACAAGTTTACCAGTGGAGAAAGAGAAGAATACAATGTGTGTGTGATCCCTCAACAGACACAAATATGGAAAATGCCACCTTTGCGAATTCCAGCAATTTAACTATTATAGGTACGCAATGTTACTTTCAATATTCTGACTGTTTCAAATATTTTCTCTTTTTTTTAAGCCGTGAACTTACATAAATGCTGTAAGTTCAGAAGAGCAAGAGTCTGGGGGAAACCGACAAAAATGATTAACACAACTGGGTTGTGAAAGCTGTGTAACAGGCGGAGAGGGGCTTCCAGGGGGAAGGAAAGACCCAGGAGAATAAATGAGGAAACAAGGATAAGATACATCTGAGAGTGAACCAAGTGTGGCTCACATCAAACAAGTATTCTCACAAAAAGTCAGCTAGTAATGGATCTAGAAATGGTACCGTGAAGGAATGATAGCAGTGTGATCATATAATGGGCCCGCCCAGAGTGGTCCAATGGTCACACAACGGGGACACGTGCATATTGTATCTCTCTCTGGGATAATCACAGTCTGCAGTCACAAATAAAAGGCCATGAGAAGCCTTTCTGCAAAGAAACTTATTCAAAATGTTGTTTAGCCAACACCTACTTCTCCAAGGATACCTTTATCACTATACACCATTTACTCACTTTATGGGTATTTTTTCAACTTACTAATTTTTATGGAACAACCCACTTTGGAAATTGCTACATTCTACTAACCCAGCCTTTTAGAGGGCTGAGCCAGAATAGAGGCTTAAGGATTTGGAAATAAAAGGCAACAATCAACCAAACATAACAACCGACTGGATGAATGGACGGGTCACAGAAAATCGGGAAGTAGGTAATGCTTCTGGAATCCCAAGCCCAGATGATGATTAGGAATGCTAACAGTACAAACAGTGAAGTCAAAAGAGGATCAACTATTAGGGAATGGGCACTAAGCTTGAATTTAGATGGGTTTGGGGAGACAGTGAGATAGTCCCCTAGAAGGAAAATTGAGCGAGAAGAGACTACAATCAAGTTCCCAGGTCTATCCCCAGTCAACTTTATGAGCCTGAACAAGTCTTAAATACAATGAAGGGGTTACAGCGGTGACCTTTAGGCTCTTTCAACTTTAACACTCTACCATTCCAAAAATTGGGCACTTGGAAGTCAAAATACCAGTACTATCAAGTTCTACCTTTAAAGGTGTGAAATGTATAGAATATAGAATAAAAATAAACAATTCAAGAATTTGAACATAATGAACTTAAATATATCAATGAGAAAAGGCTTTTA